TATAACTCTAAAAGTCAAGAAGATGATGAGGAAGAGAAAAGACGGAAAACAGAAACAAAAAGAGCCACCAGGCCCTACAATAAAAAAGGATATAAAACATCGGATCATGATGAATTCATTGCACAAATTTTAAATGGCCTGCTCTTTATGTGAGACATCTTTGAAAACTTTTCGAGAATTAAAAACTCATTATCGCCAAGAGCATCAAACCAATGGCTATGCTAAGTGTTGTGGTAAAAGTTGTACAGTCGAGGCGTTCTCGTTGACCATATTCACGTTCATAATAAATCCGAATACTTCAAGTGTCACTTGTGGAAAAGTAGTATGCGATCGAAGCAGTCTCGCATCACATTACAGTATTCTCATTCCAAAGATCGTACTATATACAGATGTAAAATATGTTCCAAGGTTTTTACCGACCCAAAGTTCTTGCACGGCATTACTTTATACACGCACCCGAAGAAAAGAGAAATGTGAAGTGCACTCAGTGTGAGAAAACGTAAGTTAAAAATAAAGTTATAAAATTAGAAAAAAAAATGTAGACATTTATGAATTTAGATTCTGCAATCAGTACACTATGAAACAACATCTAAATCTGAGCCATCTCAATTTATATGCCAAAATTTGTGATATTTGTGGCAAATCACTGAACGGCAACGAAAACTTTCAACGGCATCAGGAAGAGCATGCTGGTGTGCAACAACCATTGGAGAAATGTAAAATATGCAATGTGGAGGTAAAGTCGAAGTATAATCTGGGAGACATATGAAATTGATGCACACCGAAAAGTATCAACACCGCAGACCTGTCCAGTTTGCTCTAAAGTATCTCCCACGCTACGGCGCATAAAAGACATATGAAATATGAGCATAGCGGGGAAAGTCACGTTTGCAATGTTGTGACAAAGCATTTAAATTGGCTTATTCTTTAAAGGTAAATAATAGCATTCTCAATTTACTGTGAAATAATCCAATGTTAAAATATTTATATATAAATTATTGTTTAGGAACATATGACCACACACACCGGAGAAATATTGTATACTTGCACATTCTGCCCTAAAACTTTCAACTCCAGATCGAATATGTATACACATCGTAAGCAAAACATCCAAAGAGTGGACTGAAAATGTGCAAAGCAAATTATTTCAACAGGATGGTGCAGCAGGCTCAAAACTAGTTGATATCGACAGGAGAATAACTTTTTTTAATATGACCATAAAACTTAATTACAAAATGGAAAGGGGTAACAAAAAATTAATATAAAATAAGCGCCATGTTGCTGAAAAGGTTCCAGGCGATGTTATTTAATTTAAAAATATTATAAAAATATACGTACATATGTATTTAAATATTATGAGTTAACAGAAATAAACTTAAGACCATGGAGCAAATAGAATAGAATACAATTTTATACAAAAGCAAAACAAAACTACTCTTGGCTGTTTTCCAAAATAAATATTTGAAATTTGTAAAAAAAAATTTGCAAACAATGAGCTGTCCAAGATCTACCCAAAAGTTTTCTTTTTATTAGTTATTGATAAAGTCTTATTTGGTATGTCAAACTGATATTCCTTTCATTAAACTCAAAATAGTATAGTAGGCTGAAATTAAAAATGTTTGATTTGCTCACAGCGAAAGGCTTTGTAACTAGAGGATGTATACCAACCCAATTATTCAAATTCATTCCAATATAACACTATCGATGTGTTTTCATTCTTCACTACTTGAGTTATCGATAAGGTTGCAACACCCTGTTTAAATTTGATAATATTGTAACGGATTTCTCGATAAATCGTTATACCTGTAACTCACTCTTGAGTTCGATCACTGGATTGATAAATAAAAGTCCCAATTTAATGGCTACACACTTATCTTTATTTCTTATTCCAACAACTTAACACTTATTGCTCGTTATTCGAGCTTACAACTTTTGCTTATAGCTTAATTGCTCTTATCACGACAACACTAACTAGAACTGTGTTTGCTGCACAATCCGGCAGCCCTTATATAGTAAATCGTAACAAAACATTGCTTCTAGAACATTCTGGCCACTTCGAATTCGCTAACTACTTTACTACTAGAACATTCTGGCAACTACGAATTCGCTGTCTAGTTGCTTCTGGCAATTTATCGTCGATTCGATTTTGTTCTATCATCCGTGTTCGTCACAATTTATATTATTGTTAAACAAGTGGGATCACTGGCGTGTTGTAAACAAATTGTTCTGTAGAAGTTTATTGTTTTATTTCAATATACATTGAAGGAAGTCATTAAAATGTTTAATGAGACATGTTGTTTACTATGCTTAGAAAGTTCAAAGGATCAAATAGATTTGGACTGCAAAGAAGGTATGAATGGTCGAGAAGTGATTGAATTGCATTTTAAGCAGGAGGTGCGTATTTACATGAATTTACCCTTTATTTATGACATTTTTAATTATTTTATTCAGTTGGATATGATGTCTCAAATTGAAATAAAATTCATTTGTCGAAAATGTTGGAATTTAGTAGAAACATTTCATAAATTTTATGAACATGTCAAACAAGTGCACAAGGAAGCGGCGAACACATTGAAAGCGTGACTTTGGAAAATGATATCTTAGAAATAAAAGAAGAAATCATACATAATAACGACATAAAAGTTGAACCAAGACGACGTAGGGGACGTCCTAGACGTCAAAGAAGACCTGAAACTGTCGAAGTTTTTGTGAGCCTTCTATACCACTTAAGGAATGTCAAGTTAAAATTGAAGAATTAATACTACCCGCCTCAATTAGTCTCGAAAATATAATAATCGTCCTGAGATTTTTCTGAAGCATTAGAGGTTAAAGATGAGACTTCACTTGAAGATGTATGGATAATTCTATATCAGCCTATAGTTCGGACTCGGAAGAAATAGGGAGTAAAATGAATATAAACATTCGAAAAGACCGTGTCGTAAAAATTAAAATAAAAGGCGTTATTAAAAACTGCGGAATCAGATGAATATATCGCAAAAAACATTTTCAATTTACTTGTTGCATTTGTCAAGCATCATTAGAAAACTTCAAACATTTAAAGAGTCATTTCCGTGGAGTACATCAAATGCGTGGTTATGTGCTATGTTGTGGTAAAAATTAACTGAACGGGGTTTATTAATTGATCATATTCACTTTCATGAAGATCCTGACTACTTCAAATGTAAACATTGCGGAAAGCGAATGACGGAGCGACGTAGCCTCGATCTTCATCTTCAGTATAAGCATGCATCTTCTTTGAAACAGCATTATAATATTAAGGATACAGGAGATCAAAAATCGATAACATGCTTAGAATGTGGTAAAACGTAAGTGCTTATATGTATACTTAGATGCATATTTTAAAAGTATGTTTCTTTCAGTTTCCCATACGACATTGAATTAAGAAAACACATGCGTTTAACTCATTTGAAAGTTTATGCAAAAATATGTGATTATTTGTGTATATCAATAAAAGGATGCGACGCTCTCAAACGTCATCAGGCTGTGCATACTGGGATGTTGCGAAAATTAATAAAATGTGATCTATGTGATGCTGCGCTCACAACGAAATATGGCTTATCACGTCATATGAAAACGATGCATACGAAGAGTATCAGACACCACAAGTCTGTCCAATGTGTTGCAAAGTGTCACCGTCTCTGCAAGCTCACCAAAAGCATGTAAAATATATGCATTCCTTGCAAAGGAAATATGTATGTAAATTGTGCGACAAGGCTTTTAAACGTCTTACCGATTTCAAAGTGAGTTATTAGTTTGTGTCATACATACATATCTACTTATTTGTGTTCCATTATAATTTAATAATTTTCCATTTATAATTGCAGGAGCATATGGCCACGCATACCGGAGAAGCTTTATATACCTGTAGTTTTTGTCCACAAACTTTAAATCGAATGCAAATATGTATTCTCATCGAAAGAAGAAACACACTAAGGAGTGGGCAGAACAATGTGCGTTGAAGAAAAGCTTAGCGGTACCTTTAAAGCAGGCTATCGCAACCGACTATAAAACAACTTTAGCAAATCCGCGGAAAATGATTTAGTGGGTTGATGTAGAAAATGCGAAAGCGTCAAGATATTCAAAAATATTTTTATTAGTGGTTTGATTAAGAACCATTAATTTGTATTTTGGCTTTTGAAAAATTAGAATGCTATTGAAGTGCAGAACAAATAAAAAATATGTAAAAGAACATCAGTTCGGATTTAATAGAACCTAACAAAAATTTATTAGCCACAGCAAGGTATATTTTTATACCCTGAACAGGGTATATTAAATTTGCCACGAAGTTTGTAACACCAAGAAGAAAACGTCTGTCCGTCTGTATATATGCAAACTAGTCCTCAGTTTTTAAGCTTCGATCTGAAATTTTGCACTTGTCCTTTCTCACTAAGAAGCTGCTCATTTGTCAGAACGGCCGATATCGGACCATTATGGCATTTAGCTGCCATACAAACTGAACAATCGGAAGCAAGTCTTTGTATGGGAAACTTTTTGATGTACTATCTTTACGAAATTTGGCATGAGTTATTTTCTAAGGCAACAATGTAATATCCGAAGAAATTGTATAGATCGCATGACTATAGCATAAAGCTGTCAAACAAACTGAACGATCGGAAGTAAGTGCTTGTATGGAAAACTCTTTCAGTTTAGGAGGTATCTTCACGAAATTTGGCATGAATTATTATTTAAGGCAATAGTGCAATCTCCAAAAATACAGACGGATGACTATAACATATAGCTGCCATATTAACTGAACGATCGGAGTAAAGTGCCAGCATGGAAAACTTTTTATTTGACGAGGCATTCCACGAAATAAGATTGAATCAGAGAATGTAAATGAATTATTTTTCATATTCATTTACATTCTCTGTTTGTATTCTAATTCTTTCCAATAAGAACATATCGATATATTTTCGATCTTACTACTTGAGTTAACGATAAGATTGCAGCACCCTGTTTAACATTCATAATATTAGTATTAATTGTTAAACAGGTGGGATCACTGGCGTGTTGTAAACAAATTGTTCTGTAGTTTATTGTTTTATTTCAATATACATTGTAGGAAGACATTAAATGTTTAATGAGGCATGTTGCTTACTATGCTTAGAAAGTTCAAAGGATCAAATAGATTTGGACTGTAAAGAAGGTACCGCGTTGAATGGTCGAGAAGTGATTGAACTGCATTTCAAGCAGGAGGTGCGGAATTTATGTGAATTTACCTTTTTTTATTTATGACATTTTTAATTATTTTATTCAGTTGGATATGATGTCACAAATTGAAATAAAATTCATTTGTCGAAAATGTTGGAATTTAGTAGAAACATTTCATAAATTTTATGAACATGTCAAACAAGTGCACAAGGAAGCGGCGAACACATTGAAAAGCGTGACTTTGGAAAATGATATCTTAGAAATAAAAGAAGAAATCATACATAATAACGACATAAAAGTTGAACCAAGACGACGTAGGGGACGTCCTAGACGTCAAAGAAGACCTGAAACTGTCGAAGTCTTTTGGAAGCCTTCCATACCACTTAAGGAATGTCAAGTTAAAATTGAAGAATTAATATTACCCGCCTCAATTAGTCCCAAAGATATATGTAATCGATCTGAGATTGTTCCCGAATCATTAGAGGTTAAAGATGAGTCTATACTCGAAGATTATATGGATAATTCTATATCAGAATATAGTTCTGACTCTGAAGAATTGAAGAGTGAAAATGGAGAAGATAAACAATCAAAAAGAAAGTCTCGTAAGATAAATAAAAGAACAGGCGTCAATAAAAAAACTGCGGAATCGGATGAATATATTACAAAGAAAAATTTCAAATTTACTTGTTGCATTTGTCAAACTTCATTAGAAAACTTCAAACATTTGAAAAGTCATTTTCGTGAAGAGCACCAAACGAGTGGTTATGTGCTATGTTGTGGTAAAAAATTACCTGAACGCGGTTTATTAATTGATCATATTCATTTTCATGAAGATCCTGACTACTTCAAATGTAAACACTGTGGGAAGCGAATGTCGGAGCGCCGTAGCCTCGATCTTCATCTTCAGTATGCGCATGGAAATCGGGAACGAGTACATCGTTGTTCAATTTGTTCCAAAGGATTTTTCCGTGCATCTTGTTTGAAACAACATTACAATATACACGTTTCAGAAGATCAAAAAACAGTACCATGTTTAGAATGTGGTAAAACGTAAGTACTTTAGTAGATATTTAAAATGTAGTACATATATACTTGGATTAATTATTTAAAAATTATTTTTCGTATAGCTTCCCAGACGACGTTGAATTAAGAAAACACATGCGTCTTACCCATTTGAATGTTTATGCAAAAATATGTGATATTTGTGGTATATCGATAAAGGGGCGCGATGCTCTGGAGCGGCATCAAGCCGAACATGCTGGTGTTCCGCGAAAACTTATAAAATGTGATCTATGTGATGCTGCGCTCACTACGAAATATGGCTTAGCACGTCATATGAAAACTATGCATACGGAAGAGTATCAGACGCCACAAGTGTGCCCAATGTGTTCGAAAGTTTCACCATCTTTGCAGGCTCATCGCAACCATATAAAGTATATGCATTCCTTGCAAAGGAAACATGTATGCAAATTATGCGACAAAGCCTTTAAACGGCTGACCGATTTCAAAGTAAGTTTTTAGTTTGTGTATATACATATCTACTAATTTGTTTGTTCAAAAAATTGCAGGAGCACATGGCCACACATACCGGCGAAGCTTTATATACCTGTAGTTTTTGTCCACAAACTTTCAAATCGAATGCCAATATGTATTCTCATCGAAAGAAGAAACATGCTAAGGAGTGGGCAGAACAATGTGCGTTGAAGAGAAGCTTAGCGGTACCTTTAAAGCAGGCTATCGCAACCGACTACTAAAAACAACTTTAGCAAATTCGATGGGATCTTATTTTAGGGTTGATATAGCTAATTTGAAAGCCATATGATAAAATATTTAACAATTATTTTTTTTTTATTAATCTTCTGATTAGGAACCATTTAATAATTTTAATTTTTCTGAAAATATTCAGATATCATTTACTCTGACTTAACCTATAAAATAGCAGTAGCCGTGCGGAGTCATTGACATCACATATGATATAACGTTTAGAGCAGTTAAGACGAAAAAAAAAATATTTTGGGACCACCTTAGTGGATATCACACTTACATAGTGTGTACCTTCAGCAACTATAATACTCAATGCTTGCTTGGCGACACAACGTCTGCAATAACATACCAACAATATACTCGTACAGGCATATATGTATATGCATACCTAGGGGTTACGTCTGGCTCCCTCACATATAGGTAGTGATATACAATATGTATATGTACAGATTGCATGGAATGCCTTCTACGAAAAACACTCAAACTATCATAATCACACATTAGTTTTAATTGAGTTATAATTTTTCGGTGACCGCAAAAGTGTCAAAACTGTAAGTGCGGAGGATCCGGTTGTATAAGCACTTGAGGCACTACATACATACATACATACATACATAAAAATCTAGGTATATATGTAAGCAGGCATTGATAATAAATTGTCCCACTTCAAAGAAAGTAATGAAACACCTCTGGATGCGGAGGAAAATTCGGACTCTAGGGCAGTGGGAAAGTATATACATACATACGTATATATGTATGCATGTATCAACGCAAATTTTGGTTAATATTGCGTATGCAATAACTTTTTAAACAGTTGTCTTTGCCATACTTCATTTATTGCATTGTCAACGTATGCCACTGCCGAAGAAGGCATTGAGTTCATTTGTAAGCGCTCCTGCTGTGTGGACAGACATTGCATTTTATTATTTTACTCTGCATGCGCTTGACTTATGTATATACATATTTATTTTTATACATTATATAACATCAAAAAATAATCTAGAATACCAATACAAATTCTTCCGAAATTTCATAGAAAGACTCCGCCTATGAGTTCATTAGTAAACGAGGCTTTAGAAACGACGACACAGTCGCGAATATTTTTCAAATTTTTTTATTTTTGTTGTAAACTCAAGATGACTACCACTTGTTTGTTGGTAGGTTCATATCCCGATCGATAAAAATTATAAAAAATATGTCTAATCCATTAAGAAGCGGAATGTGGCTAGTTGGACTCATCATTTATCGCAGAGATGCGCATTACGAAAACGAGAACCGACGCGGTTGTTGTTGTAGTGGCAAAAAACTGCCTGAAGTAATCTGGTGAAATGCCACCGAGTTGACAGATTTTGGCCGGATAAAAATCCGGATTCGTTCCGGTTGCGTAGGACCGTTTGTCGTGGGCATGGTCCGTGTTCATGAACCGAAAGGGTCTGTTCTAATGCTTTCTAAAATACCAGACGGTTTATCGTGCGAATATTATATCTTCAGTTTTTATGTGGATTGAATAAAGAAACAGAAAAAAATGAACCTATAAAAATTGTATTGGGCCTGTTGAGTTCTCCAAGCATGTTCTTATATATATACCCTTTTTTTATGGCATTCAAAGGTGCTAGAGATTGCAGCTCAATATGTTTCGATATTAATTGAATTTAATAAGCCGAAGCGCTGTTGTCTCAGAACACCGAGTAAAAATAGAAGTAAAACAAGAAAAAACGTCAACTTCGCCTGCACCGAAGCTATAATATCCTTGACAGGGGCAATTTTAATGTCTTGGATAATAATCTATGCGAATTTCGTGAAGCTACCTTGTCAAATAAAAAATCTTTTCATACAAGGACTTGAGTTTGATCGGTCAGTTTGTACGGCAGCTATATTATGTAGTATTTCGATCTCAACAATTTCTTCGTAGATTATTGCGATGCTTTGGTTAATACTCTCTGCCAAATTTCTTGAAGATATCTTGTCAAATTAAAGAGTTTTCTATACAAGGGAATGATTTTGACGATCAGTTTGTATGACAACTACCATATATCCTATTGCGGTCCGATATCGGTGGTTTCAACAAATTGACATGTCTGGTGGATAACAGTGGAACTTTTCGCAGATGGCACGCTTTGAGATTTTGTTCTTTCAGACGTCGCCGAATAGTAACGCCACTAACATTCAAGCTTAAGTCATTTTTTATCTTGCTGGACGATGCAAAAGGCTGCGCCCTGCTATATCGCACAATAGATCGGTCCTCATGAGGTGTTGTTTTACGTTGGATACCACGATTTTCGGGCATTTCTTTAAAGTTTAAAGCATTATGAATCATTTTAGCAGAACATCCACATATTTCTTGGATGTCTTTATATGTTTTTCCCAGGTTTCTTAGTTTCACTATAATATTTCTTTTTTCAGGAGTACAATGTTTGCCCCTGCCCACTAAGTTAAAAAATATAAATTTATTTTAGTGTTTTCTAATGTTAATAATAGTCACTAACACAAAACCACTTACTTTTTATCAATTAAACGTCTTAACAAAATTTTTTTGGGTTATCAAGATACGCACTGCTATTTTAATGAACAGCCAAAGACTGGTGCTTCTAGCAAAAAGAGTTGTTCATTTGCTTAAATCTCGCAAATCTAACGGGATTTTTTCGTTTCCTCCTTATACACATTCCATTCTAAGACAACAATGCGTAGACGTTGGAATAATCGTAACGGAACTTGAAAAAAATAACATTACTTGATTGCATTTCTCGCACTGCTATTTTTGTGAACACAGCTGTATATGAAAATAAATTGGATAGTTGATCACTAAAGAAACTTCTTTGCTAAGAAAGAAAATTGAGAAATATGGAGAAAATTGCGTTGTAAGTACCTTTCCGAGATAGGAAACTGTAATAGTAATTAAAGACTCTTTCCTGGGTAAACAATGAAGTATAAGTGAGACCAATGCTATAAATAAGACCGACCTACATATACGCGACGGTTCAAAAGTATCCTTCCAACCAGAAGTAGTTTCAGCAATTGCTGTCTATTTTCAAAAACGAAATATGAAGTTTATCTTATATTTATTGCCTTACCTCAAATTTCGACATAACCAATATTTGAATATAATAATTTATCTAATTCTTTTCTTAAATTACGATGTACACATGGTACTTTGTACATAGTTAATAAATGCCTAATATGCGTTTACCTTCTGGATCGAAGGGACTTCTCAAATGACATTCAGCCTTATAACGTTTCCCTAAAATGACCACTTCGTATGTGCCGTGCGTAACGTAATCATTATCTATAATTTCGCCATCCCTTCGACTAACATACGCTTGACCAATTGATTTTCTCAATGCATAACCGTAGTCCGCACGTCGGAGGAAGCCAACCGCTTCACCATTACGATACACACCCTCCAAACCCCAAATGGGCACTTGTTCGTTTAAAGTTAAGTAGACTAAACGGCGTCTAATACCCACATTACGTTGACGATCAATTGCCTCTTTGCCTTTGTAGTCGCCATTTTTGCGGCAGGTAAAGGAAAGACCAGCTTCAATGGGTGTATCGTCAGATCTTAAATCGAAACTCCACAAATGATAGCCTTTTTCGCTGCTTAACGAATAGAGGGCACGATAGCCAGCATTTCGTACACCATCGGTTCTACCGACCGCCAAGAGTGATTGATAGACAGTAGAGCAATGTTCTTTTGGCACGTGCAGCTCATAGCCGAGCTCACCGACGAAACTCACACGCAATACACGCACACTCACTTGTTCGCCCTTACTTTTGGGGCATTTAACACTTGTCACTTGTGTACCATTGGGTGGAATGTTCTCGTTCGATAGATCACAGTCGATAACACGTTGGAGTATATCGCGACTACGTGGTCCCTGAATGGATATAACTCCCATTTCGCTAGTAACGTCGCGTAATGTGACATTAAAACGCTTTCGACGTATTTCAGCAAGTAGTATAGAATAGGTGTAATAGGCGGAGGCACCACCAGCCACAATGTAATATCCTTGACCGGTAAACTTTGGATCGTGTACTGCGCCTGTGCCAGAATTGAGACGTGATACGGTAACGTCAGCTTCCACGCCGCCACTGCTGTTGAGCACGCAGGTGTACACGGTTCTAGTAAGAAATATATACATTACATGTTGTCTCTCAATTAAAGAGGTAGTAACAGAGAGAAAAGAAAACTGAGCAAAAATTGTCAAATAACGATATTTTTCTATTTAAAAACCATTCACATACAACTTTTCTTGCTTTACGTGACAGCTCATACTGAAGCAACGAAGCGCCTGTGACGCCAGCATTACAGCCGAAACTGTCAAATTGTACGAGAATCAATGAGTGACAACGAGTTTAACGCTCTTCTACATCCACTTAAGCGAGTTTTAAAATGTTACTCACTTGTTAGCATCTCGATTAGTGTTGGCGCTAAAGATCCAGTCAGCGGCCTTTTGTGCATCTGGTCCGCACATAAACAATTTGCAAAAATAGCTCATGTTAAAGATGGCGGCGGCGTTTCGGCAAGCCATTGCCTCTTCGCCAATCTGCAATATATGTATACAAATAACTTTTGCACTCCCCACAGATATTTAAGACATACCAATTTATGATGATCCGAAAATTCTGAGTACTTTAAGTCACCCTCTAGCGTTTCTTCGTAAACGCTTTCGGCGTGTCTCGTGTTACCATAACAACCATACCAATCATAGGGTAGGACCTCTACCTTTTGTTTCATAAAGAAGCCAGGTCGCTCCCAGCCCTGTTTCTCTTCCATAAAAGCATTTTGCGCCAACATATCGTCATGCAATGGATCTTTTTGGAAATTACGCCCCGCAAGTGGCTGATCAAATTTAAAGACCATACTATAATTTTTAGCATAACTCTCATGCGAACGTTCGCGTATCCATTGTGTGTCACGATTCTGTGCCACCGTGAAACGTCGCAAATCGAAGCTAAACATTGCCAAATCAGGTTTACCATTAATTATCCAAAGTGCTGTTTGTTCACCGCAACCGCCACCAAACATCATGCCAGCCGAATTGAAACCACAATTATGATATAAACCGTTTATAACTGTATCGGGACCCATAAGAGATTTGTGATCGGGTGTAAAAGATTCAGGACCACATATTGTACTCTTCACGCCATAATCCCCATACGCAGGACACAATTTTATAGCACCATTAAGGTGCACATCAAACAGAGACCAATCCAAGTCGTAAAGGCCGAAATGAAAGTCTTTTTCCACCGGTTCCAATATAATAGGATTCGGCTCATAACCACCCATGCAAATTGCATCGCCTTGTATGCGAAAGTAAGTGGAATAATCGTGATCGCGTATATTCGGTATGCCACGCACACCGGGTATGGTCTCGGAAATAATGTACGAGTGCTTCATGGGTATAAGTGGCAAATGCGAGCCATGTTTTTGCACTAAATCACGACCCCAAACACCCGTCGCATTTACCACGATCTTTGTTTTGATATTGCCAAATGGTGTGGCCACACCGACCAGTTCTTTTCCCTTAGATGTGTCTTCGACTAACAGATCTGTGACATTGCAATTTTCAATAACCCGGGCACCCTTTTGAACCGCGCCACGAGTCAAGGCCGTACACAACATAGCTGGATCAATTACACCGTCACCTGGTGAATAGAGCGCACCGATAAATGATTTCGGATCAAGAAGTGGAAATAACTTTTGCGTCTCTTCGGGTCCTAGTATATGATTTTCAATGCCTAAAGCATTGCCCACAGTGGCGAGACGTCTATATTCATCCAAACGTTTCTAATGGTTAAAATTAAAAGAAATATACTTTAGTACTTTAAATGACGAAGAATTGATGAACGATGAGGATGATTGTGATTCGTGTTTATTTTATATACTATGAAATATGTTTATCATAGGTAGTTATAATTTTGTTAGTCTGATTGATGAAAATGTTCAGAATCTCGAAAAAACCCGATTTCGAGTAGAAGGTGATCTTGAAAAAACTTGAAATTACAAAACTGCCACGGCAACAAAATGATGTTATGCAAAAACATTGAATTCACAGTTGCAGTTGAACCCAATCTCTAAAACAAACATCTCTAAATTTCACAACTGAGGGACAATTGGTTCGTGAGCTATAACGTTCTGACCAACGCCAGTTTTGGTACTTTGAAAAAATTTGATAGAAATGATTTTCGTGTGTTAATAAAATACTGTTTTTTGGGGGAAAAATGTTGTTGATACAAAAAATTAATTGAGTTTTATCCGAGCTATGCTTCAAGTGAAGTAACCATTCGTAAGTGATTTGCTAAATTTCGTAAAATTTCCGAAGAGGTCGCGGTCGGTTACGGACAAAAATCCACAAAACTACAAGTATGGGTGTAAAATGAAGGTGATCGAGATAACTTGACACACTGAAGATATCAAAGAGACGTGTCGTACACACAAAAAATACGATAAGCCTGGGGCTTATTTGAAAGCAAAAGACAAATCGTACTATGTAAAAATGTTTTGGAAAATTTGGTCACAATAATCGGTGCACAATCATA